TGGCTTCTCCGTGGTTCTGTGAGAAAAATGTGTTTATTTAGCTGTTTCTTTTTAACTTTTTTTTTTGTTGTTTTTTAAAGTTTGTTCCAAAGCATATTTCAAAATTGAAGGCGGGAAAGTAGAATCACGTTTTCTTCAAAAGTAGTCACATCTGTAATTCTTTTCAGTTCGATTCGCAATGAAAAACTATATAAAGTACTGCTCTCACCTGAAACCCCGTTTTTAACTGCCCCTATTCCTTTAAAGGTTCTTTACACATTTTTTTAAAAGTAAAATTCAACAAATAGTTGTTCCCTATGGACACAATTATTATTTAGCTGATGAAAACGTGTAGAAGCTTCTAAAGTATCAAAAACAAAACTCACGTGTTCGAACAGTTGGCCCCCTCGACTCTGCATTCGAAGCCTAAAAAAAGAAAAGTGGGAAGTTCAACAGGTTTTATGAAAAAAAATTTTTTTTTGAAGGGGCCTTATCGAGGTTTTCGAAAAATAGAAAATGTGTTTTAAACGAAAAAAAAATGATTTCAGGTTAAGTTTCTTGAAAATCATTATTTTTTTCAAATTTGAACAGAAAAGTCTTAACTCTCACGATCTTTTCATTTTCGCTAGCAACTTCATTATAAATTATGAAGAAAGTTAATTAGTAATGAGATTACTCGCAGAAAAAAATTGAATTTCTTTTAATGTTCTCAATATTTTGTCATCGCTCCCTCACTGAAAAAAAAACTGTGTCACCACCTCCTTCTCATCTTTTTGATTCTAAACTTGCCCATGTATGACAAAAACAAAATTGTTTTGAATCATACGTATAGTCTGTGTGCCACGACTTGAAATTTCGCGGAACGACATTCCGCTGTGTCGCTGCGCGCTATCGCGAACCTTGGTCGCGCTTCTAATTTTTTTTTCTTTTATTAAGGTATGACATTGAACATGAATTATTGGCAGAGGAAGACAAGAAAAAATTTAAGGACATGTTTTTAGTGTATGCAGAAAATGTTGGCGTCGAGTATATTCTTTTAAGTGTTCACAGATTTGTGCCATAATCAACTTGGTTTTAAATATCTATTTATTATGGTTCTATGTTTCTTTTCTCACCCAAAAAAACTCTTTTTTTTTCTTCACAGGTGGGGTTAGTTAATCCACCTAGTGGTCTTTTTCCCTCCCTGCAACATCACCATACCATCCCGATGTTGCGAAAAATAAAAAAATTGAATTGAAAAAAGGTACTTTACATTCATGTGCTCCCACAGCAATAACAATCATTTGGAAACGTGACCTAGATTCGAAAGACGCTTCGCGAGCGCACGCAGTGGAACAGCGGAATGTCGTTCCGTGAAATTTCAAGTCGTGGCACACAGACTATATAACACAGCTGCACGACGTGAAAGTTTCTTTCCTAATGTTTCAACTTTTTTTACAGTAACTTTTTCAGTTTACTCTCAATTCTCGATGAAACTCACGACTCGTCGCCTCATGGTGAGGAGTCTCTGATAACAACAGAAAAACGACGGACGTGAAAAGGAACTTCATCTTCCTTGTTTCTTCATGAAAAACTCGGTAAAGTACAATTTCATTTCCACAGGAAGATTTCAGAAGAACGAAAGGAAAGGAATCACAAAAAGTTGAGTCTAAAAATTAAAAGGAACGATAGCGAAGAAAAAAAAAACGAGAAGAAAATTAATTCAGAGAAGAAATTGAAAAATCGGCTTATTGGAATAATTGAATAAATTATAGGCAAAGCGAACGATTGATCTGAGCCACTCATCTTTCAAGCGCCGCCTACCGTTGCTGCGTTTTCGAAGTACATCTTTTCCTATAGGAACTTAGTAGGGAACTACGCGGACTCTAACCCGCTGATCTAGTTAAACTCTGGCTGCTTGCATATCTGAGTAAGAACTTTTTGGAAATAAGAGATGTTTTCTAAACTCCGAACGTTGCACTTTACAGGGATCGGACCTATTCAAAAAAAAAACTCAAGCATGAGACTAACTTAAAGGTAGGGACCACAGACCTATTTTTCGAACTCAAGCTAGCCCTTCGTTTTTGTTATAAAATTAATGAATTTAACATGTAGTATGCGAAAACAGAAAAGAAAAACGAAAAATATTAAGAATAAGAGGAGAAAACAATATTTAAAAGTAATTGAAAAGCAAAAATTTTTGCACTGAAATTTTGGTTTTGCGAATTCTCATGCAATCTGCGCGCACCCTTATTTGCAAGGTGGGCACGGTTTCAGGAGCCAAAAGAGAAGGTTTTACGAGCTGTAATTCCACTTTACCATCACTTTCGTCTCAGTGACTGCACAAATACAGCCTACAGTGCTCTTTGAATCCCAAAAAAAATGTAATTTCGCCTACTTTTATTCACCTTTTTTGTTGAGAAAATTTTTTCGGCGATCTTGAATTTTCGATTTTATTGCTTTATTTGTTTGAAAATTAAAAACTCTTATAAATGAGTAAGAAAAAACGCGTGTCTTCGACCGGGAAATGTTTCAAAATTACTCCCAAAAAATTCTCCATCTTTTTTACCACTCAAAACAGTACATTTGCTTGTAGTTGGCTCAAGGGTAAGGTGGATGGAAGCTCTCCGCGCTAGACCTGACAGCTTGGCGCATTGCGTGCGCTGCGACTTTTCATTTTGAGGTCGCGAGTTCGATGCCCGCAAGCGGCAGTTTTTTGTTTTCTGGAAAATACCGACTTTTTCGGCAAACTAGCTGATTAGCATCATTTTAGCACTCTATTATGATTTGTTACATCATAATAGACCAGTATCAAAACCTGTTCTAGAAGAAAAAAATCGAGAAAAAAATGTCAAAAAAATGGATAATACCAAAATTTTCAGTACTAAAAAAATGGTGCGCGGCGCGCCACATTTTTTTCGTCATAACTTTTTTTCATCCTCAATCTTTTTTTGAAAAAAACTAAACAGTTCTGAGTTTTTGAATCAAAAACAGCTATCAAACCATACAGAGCTCGAAGCTGAAAAAAAATTTTTGAAAATTCGTCTGCGGTCCCTACGTATAGCGCGAACGCCTCTTCCCTTCGAGAAATGTACGTGGAGCAGCGCTTGCATACAGTTTTGGGGTCGCGAGTTCGATGCGCGCAGCGGTCATTTTCTTGTTTTTGATAGGAAAATACCTTTTTCTCAAATCTTGGGGTTAGATTACATTTGAATGACTATTTATGACTTCTAGAATCGGATTGAACCGTTATAAATTTTCAATTCGAAAGAAAAACTCAAAAAACGACCGAAAGTGGAAAATCTAAATTTTCAGTATTTAATTTGGCTCCTTTTTGCACCACCGTTTTGCCCTATCTTTTTTGTTCTCAAACTTTTTTTCGAAAACTAAACTGCGTTGAATAGAAAATTGGAGCAGCTACCCAACCAAAGCAATTTTAGAGCTCAAAAATTTTTTTCAAATTTTCGTTGCGGTCCCTACAAGGTCGTTGCACCAGATCAGGGATGGAGGAAACGGGATTTTTCGAACTCGAGACAAGATCGAGATGTTCCAATTAATAAATACAATAAAAAATTTTGTCTCGAAATACAGCCGTGTACATAATTTCTCCTTGATCTCTTCAAGAATTTTTTTCTCAGAAGCACATGGTAAATAGCAGATATTCTCTCTTGTTTCTAAAATCTCTTACCCGGGTCTCTGAGCTTTGGAGAAAACATGAGATTTTTTTGCATTATGCGTGCATAGGCACTGCTCTTTGCACGATTTCGGTAAGAGTGAAATCCGCGTAACTCTCTGGTGAACAACATAAGAAAAGCATGTACGAAATCGGATGAAGTCTGTATTGAATCCACGTAGACGATGCGTTTACTGCAGCAGAATCGGTTTTGAAAGAAAAACTCGAAGTTCTGGGAAAAAAAATCGTATGGTTTCTGCTGAAAAAAGTCTTCCCATGTGGTCTAGTGGTTAGGATTTGTGGTTTCCACCCACGTGGGTATACTCAACAAGTCCCATCACAATATGCATAGGAGGCGGCTCGATGTTCGCTACTTCAACGTTGAACAGATATGTGGAGTTCAATCTGACGCCGTTTTTTTCTTGCTGCGAGTCCAAAGCATATGAGCTCATTGTTCGAGGCACGGATCGCGCTGAAGGATCCCAGTTGAACAATGTCAAGCCACATAGTTTCTGAAAGAACGAACGTTTGATCGTTGAAAATTAAAAAGAACAACGAAAAAGCTTGCGGGAAAAAAGATGTCATCAAAATGGCCTTTTTTCGGAATATTCTGTAGCAAAGAAAGTAAAAAACAATTCTAAACTCCTGTCAAGCCTTTTAAACAAATTTTAAAAACACAAAAAAAAGTGAAAAAACATAAAAATCTGAAAAAATATGCGAAAAAAGGTGAAAACAACGGATAAATCGAATAAAACTTTAGGGTAGCTCTTATTAGCGAGGGCACGTGCCGCACCGCGTTGCGTTAGAAAAAACTCGAGTGGGCGCGATTTTTGAACGTCCATTGCTTTGGCTTACTGTCGTTCGTTTCGGAACACCGTGCCACGCGGTCCGGGTTCGTTTTTTTTTTGGGGCACGCCGTAGCGCAACAGGTTGTGTGCCTGTCTACGGTCCACAGGGTCACAAATTCCATACCCGCCCCGACCCAACCAAGGGGTTTAAGAAATGTTAGTGGGAAACCACGGCTTCATAATCCCCAGCCGTCACACTCAAGGACGGATATGTCACTCGAGCCGGTCCACAGATAATCATTGGTATCAGGATAGGATCTTGGCTAATCGACTTGGGGCGCTGACGCCGCCCAAGCGGTATAAAGGTAGGGACCGCAACCAAACTTTCAAAAAAATTTTCGAGCTTCAATATTACTATGGTTGGATGTCTGCTCCAATTTACTATTCAAAACAGTTCAGTTTTCAAAAAAGGTTGAGAACAAAAAAAGTTATGGTCAAAACAGTAGTGAAAAAAGTCGCGAAATTTAGTACTGAAATTTTAGATTTTACACTTTTGGTCGTTCATTTTGTTTTCATATCGGATTTAAATTTTTTAGTAGTTTAGTTCGGTTTTCAAAGTCATAATTAGTTATTAAAACAGTATAAAACCACAAGTTCGAAGAGAAAAGCTATTTTTTCATGGAAAATAAAAAAATGGCCGCTGCGAGGATCGAACTCAAAACTGTATGCAAGCGCACTTGCGCTGCTCCACGTCCATCCTTCGAAGATGAGAGGCGTTCGCGCTATACACCACTATACCTCCCTCAGCACGGATGGCGCACGGTGCATTCTGCTTTTTTGCACTCTGGTGCGAAACTGGAGTCTGCCCCATGCAGTTTTGGTGCTATTTTGGTGTCGCACTGGTGCAGCACGCTAAAAGCACTGATTTGACACCTTTGCACCAAAAAAATCACCGAAATCGCACGGTGCAGACCCCCTCTAACAAAAGTTGCGGTGCACCCCGCGTCGAACCGGCTATCGGGGTGCACCCCTCGTTGAACTCAGCGCGATTGGGTGAACCCCGCGTTGATGTTTTCGGTGCACTGAAAATTTGAAAACTCGGTGCACCCCTCGGTCATCTGGAACGATGTTCCGAACAACGCGTTTTTCAAATTTCAAGTTACGAAATTTGAAGTTTTCATTTGTTTTTTTATTTGTTTTAATTTATTATCACTCGCTTTTTCGTGTTTTTTTCTATTATTCGATGTTTTAACATTACTAGTGAGTTTATGGAAGTAGTTTCATATGAGTTTCTTCTTCTTCTTATTCTTATTGGCAAATTTTTTTGAGACATTTTTTTGAAATACAAAATTCGTTTTTTTAATTATATTTTTTTCGATCGCAAACTTCTGGAAATGATGGATAAAAAAAGTAATCTTGCTTCCAAAAAGCTCATGTAACTTTTTTTGAATTGAACATTTCGAATCGGTTTTTTTATTCCAACCTTTTTGAAGGTTTTTTTGTTCAATTTAGTCTAAAAAAAGCTGTATTGAACATTTCATTTTTTTAAGTTGTCAGGTAATCAAGGCTTGCGCATTGATTTTTGCTAAATAGTTCGCTGGAAAATGCTTTTTTTGAGTCTTTCAAATGTGCAGAAATCTTGCAAAGCCAAAATTATTTTTGCCTCGACATATTTTTCAATTTTTCGAGTCCAGCAAGCAATTTTTGAGAAACTATCAAAATTAAAAACTATTGTAGATTTTAGTTGAAAAAAAACGGTTTGTTCTTAAAAGTAAATATTTTTAAACTTATTTGTTTCGCTAACTTTTCGCGATTATTTGTGAAAAAAAAATGCGTTTCAGGTTCATTTGAAGAGAATAAGTTTATGACCATCAAGGAAGAGAGAGAAAACGCATATAATATGAAGGTAATTTTTTTAAAGCTTTGCATTTTAGTTTTGTATTAGTTTCAGATAGCCGTACGACTTGATCCTGATTCATGACAAACAGAAGGAGTGCAGTCGAATAAGGGGAGCAGAGTAACTTAGCCGTTACTTTTTTTCTTCTTTTTTTGTTCTTTAATAGCTGATGAAAAAGTTTGAATAGTTGACATTGGAAGAGTTTGTCCTTTTTTTAGCTAAGACGAAAAATTAAATTTTTAAGAGCGCGTAGTTTGAAAAATAATTGATTCATTTTGAAGTGACTATGCTAGTAATCTTCGCGAATTTCGTCGAAATATACCAGGGAATGGTCTCTAGTCGCAGTGGGGCATCGGAATGAGACCAAGTTTTCTAGACATAGTTTTTCACGCTTATTAAAAATCTGGTTTCGAAAACGGCCGCGGAAATTTGGGAAAAAAGTTATGTACCCTCAAAAGTCGAAAACTTCATTTTCTCCGATTGCGCTCATTTTTGGAGGTTATAGATCTTGTCCCTTTGACAACATAAAACCAATTACTGTTTTTTTCAAAAAGTTTTGAAGCCCAGATATGAGAAAACCGCGCGCGCGCATTCTCTTATCATGTGCGGAGCTTTAGAATACGCCCAAAGTTTTTTTTTCGAAAATAAAAGCTTTTTTGAGACCAGAGGGTCAAGATCTATATGTCCTCCAAGAATAAGCTCAAGCGGAGACAGTGAAATTATCCGCTTTGAGGGTCCATAACTTTTTCCCAGACATCCGCGATAGTTTTTGAGAACACATTTGGAATCAACATTGACGAACTCGCAAACACTAGGTTCTACTCTTCGCCGGTTTCGCATGTTTTCTGGGCGCGAGCTCGCATTTCTCTCGCAATTTGAAAAATTTTCGAAATGCAAGGTCGCGCCGAGAAAAAAATGCGACATTTTTTTGCGAGTTTGTCGATAACCGCCAGTGTATCGCGTTTATCTTGGCAGTTATTCTTAGTGAATATGTTTAGAGAAGGCTTAACGTGAAGTTGGCACAAGTCAAAAAGATCAAATTGGACAACTTATCCTTTTTTTCAGCTTTTTCCGACGTTTTTTTATTCACATCTAGCTCGCTATGAAAATAATTTCCATCTTTAAGTATCGTTCGAAAAAAAGAGAAAACATACTGACAATGTTTTTAAAAATTTGAACACACGTTCTCCGAAATTTTTCGAATATACGTTGGTGATAATTTTGATGAATAATTTTTAAAGATTTTTTTAGCTGAAGTTCATATCAAAGATACTATGCAAATTTTTTTAAACTCATGTAAACAAGTACCGAAAAAGCTCCGTATAAAAAAATTTAGTGTATAAAAAAATCAAGGCCATCTGAGGTCCCAGTTTTTTTATAGAGCTATAACAACTGCGGAAGTCGTCATTTTGCCAACACAATTGATGTTTCCAAAGGACATTTTAGAAGCGAAACGCTTTACGAGGAAAAAAAAGTTAGCTTCTTACAGTAATTTTTGTCTTAGTAGCTCTAAAAAGTGGGCGGAGCGTTTCGGTGCCTGAAATAAAAAAGGTTTAATAGTATCTGTGATATGAATTTATGCTCAAAAAAACATAATTTTCAAAATTATTGTACCAATTAATTTCCCAGTTCATAAAATTTCTCGGAAATCATGTGTTAAATATTACCAGTCAACTTTGTAAGTGTTATGAAGCCTGTTCTGTTTTTTGCCTAATTTTCTTCAGTACTATCCACTCTTTCTGTTGTATTCTCTTATTATTCAATTTCTTTCTCCTGATTTAATTTTTCAGTTTCTATCAATTTTTTTCGATTTATGTCTACTTTTTTTAACATGCTCTCACGATTTTTGGTCTGAAGTTGGCTAGATGCTTAGAAAAAAAGGGGAGAAGGCGCAGAAAAACAGCTCTAGAGACCTTTTTTCTTTCTCACATTTTGTAAACGTTGTTATTTTTCTTTATAAATCTCGTAAATGAAACTGTCTATCTTCGAATATTTTTGAAATTCCCTATTTATTCGCTGTAATTTTTTTTGTTTTATTTTGTTTCATTGTCTTATTATGTGATATATCATTTAATAAAACATATAAATTGAAACGTGGTCTCAATTGATGATATATATGAGATATAGAAGTATAAAGGTATTTCAAAAGTGCAAGAAGCAAACATTGAAAAAATGAGGATTCGGTGCACCCCGCGTTGGACTTTTCGGTGCACCCCTGGTTACACTGCGGGGTGTACAGGAGAGTTCAACGCGGGGTGCACCGCAACTTTTGTTAGAGCCAATTTCGCACCAGAGTGCAAAAAAGCAGAATGCACCGTACGCCATCCTTGCCGAGCAAAGTACAGCATTTACCGTCTATTTTGTTTTTAAAAAAATTATGATAGTTGAACAATTATCAGTCACGTGTGTTCGGACCACCTAAAAATAATTCACTCATAGAGATTCAGTTCAAAATGCTTCCGTTTTCGGCGTTTTTTGTTATTTTCACGTTGGCTTCAAACTAACGCTGATTAACACGCTGTCTCCGTTATTCTCAAAAACAACGGGTACAATAAAAAAAATATTTTTTGATTTCGACAAAACTTCATCCAGTGTGATAACCCATCATCAGAAATGCGGACCCAACTTTTTTTGAGCCATTTCCTCTTACTGTAGCCGGGTTACGGTAGGCAGGTGGGCACCTGCGTATCTCAGTATTTATGAGTTTTTTTATTAGGCAAGTGATATATCAATCGATAGGTAATTCAATTTTAGGAACTTTTACAGTACATACCATCATGGGTTACGGTGGGAAAAATTTTTGAGTTACGGTACTTTTTTTGTGTCCGCCGAGTCAGTTTTTTTCGACCACCATGAGCTTGAGCCGAGAGATCCATTCTTCCTAACTTCTCAAAAAGATACCTTATGAGAAGCTGTACAAGCTGTTACTAGTTTGAAAAAATCCTAGGTGGACCATCATTTCGAAAAATCGCCTCGAAGGCGCGCAATCGTGGTCTTGCGGCGGCCAAGTGGGTGAAGTCCATGATGCCTGACGGCTCATTCTTCAGAGATCCATCCCAATCTTTGTTTCCATTTCACTAATAGACATCTATTATTGATTTTTTTATTTCAATTTGAGATGTTTTTCGGGTTGACCATCATCTCGAAATTTCATTTTGAACCTAAATTTGGCCTAAAATGGCCGACTCGGCTTTTTTCACGGGATCCCTGACCCCCTATGTGACCGTTCTCAACTTTTTTCTTTCTTAAACATGAACAAGAGTGTCTGAACAACAGTTTTATAACAATCGGAAACCCTTTTGAGAGGACCATCATCTCGAAATATCGATTTGAACCCAAATTTGGCCTAAAATGGCCGACTCGGCTTTTTTCACGGGATCCCTGACCCCGTATGTGACCGTTCTCAATTTTTTTCTTTCCTAAACATGAACAAGAGTGTCTGAACAACAGTTTTATAACAATCGGAACCCCTTTTGAGAGGACCATCATTTCGAAATTTCATTTTGAACTCAAATTTGGCCTAAAATGGCCGACTCGGCCTTTTTCACGGGATCCCTGACCCCGTATGTGACCGTTCTCAACTTTTTCCTTTCTTAAACATGAACAAGAGTGTCTGAACAACAGTTTTATAACAATCGGAAACCATTTTGAGAGGACTATCATCTCGAAATATCGATTTTAACATGAATTTGGCTTGAAAACTTTTGGTTTACCCTTCCAATGAAATTATTGGTTCCCTCAATACAGATCTTGGCCCTTTTAACTTTTAGATGAGAATATAAAGATGAGAACTGAAAATAAAATTTATTTTGGACCAATTCCAAAATGACCGTTTACCTAGGAAACCCACTTTCAAATAAAAATTTTTGCTTGAAAAATCGAAATATTTTTTTGGTTATTTTTTTACAAAAATAGTCACAAGACGAATGTCTTGTTTTTTTAGGTATGAAAAAAATTTTTGAAGATTTAGAACTACTATTTAGGTTATAATAAAAAAACATTTTTTTAAAAAAATCACCTTGAAAGTTAAGTTTCAACCTCACCGGTAGTCAGAAAGACGAGTTTTTCTCTTTTATGAAAAAAATTTCTTGGTATTTCACATTTCTCATTTTTTTGATTAGCTGTTTTTGAAAAGAAATTGGCAGAATAGGTTTCGATGTAAATGATAAAAAAACTTCAAATGGGGAAACTAAGCCGATATTTGAGTTCAAATCGATATTTCGAGATGATGGTCCTCTCAAAAAGGGTTTCCGATTGTTATAAAACTGTTGTTCAGACACTCTTGTTCATGTTTAAGAAAGAAAAAAGTTGAGAACGGTCACATAGGGGGTCAGGGATCCCGTGAAAAAAGCCGAGTCGGCCATTTTAGGCCAAATTTAGGTTCAAAATGAAATTTCGAGATGATGGTCAACCCGAAAACATCTCAAATTGAAATAAAAATCAATAATAGATGTCTATTAGTGAAATGGAAACAAAGATTGGGATGGATCTCTGAAGAATGAGCCGTCAGGCATCATGGACTTCACCCACTTGGCCGCCGCAAGACCACGATTGCGCGCCTTCGAGGCGATTTTTCGAAATGATGGTCCACCTAGGATTTTTTCAAACTAGTAACAGCTTGTACAGCTTCTCATAAGGTATCTTTTGAGAAGTTAGGAAGAATGGATCTCCCGGTTCAAGCTCATGGTGGTCGAAAAACTGACTCGGCGGACACAAAAAGTACCGTAACTCAAAATTTTCCCACCGTAACCCATGATGGTATGTACTGTAAAAGTTCCTAAAATTGGATTACCTATCGATTGATATATCACTTGCCTAATAAAAAAACTCATAAATACTGAGATACGCAGGTGCCCACCTGCCTACCGTAACCCGGCTACAGTAAGAGGAAATGGCTCAAAAAGTTGGGTCCGCATTTCTGATGATGGGTTATCACACTGGATGAAGTTTTGTCAAAATCAAAAAAAATTTTTTTTATTGTACCCGTTGCTTTTTAGAAATTTTTTTGAGAATAACGGAGACAGCGTGTTAAACTTTTTAGGCATCGTGAAAAATTTTTTTATTTTATTTTTTTAATTGATTGAAAATTGAGATACGCTAATATTTAAGAAATAAAAAAAGGCGCCGACGACATCTGACCATGTTAAAATTAATTTCGAAATTTTCACTGTCTATTTTTTTCTCAGAAAACAAATTTTTTTCGGAATAAGTTTTATACAAATAAATTTTTTTAGTTAAATCCACAAATTAAAAGTTTTTTTATTTAAAAACCAAATTCGAAAAAAGAGGCGCCGACGACATGGAACTAGGTTAAAAACCCGAAGAAAAAAAGTAGTTTTGGTTTTTTGTACGACACTCCGCTAAAACGCTTCGAGAATAGGGTGAAAAGTATATGAGATTAAAGAGGAAGGTTTTCTGTACGCTTTCAATTTGTTTCCACTAATTTTCTGTGTTTGGTTCAGTATTGTGCTTTTACGAAAACATCAAACACAAAATCTAAAAAACCAGTGCATTTCACCATCGCAAAAAGGGCGTGGCTCTGCGGTCTCTATATAAAGGCCTAGGAAGAAGAAAAAGAAGAAGGTTTCTGCTGAAAAAAAAAAGAAAATTTCAGAAAGAAGAAATCATACTGCTTTTGAAAACAGCGCTTTTTAAACTGGATGAAATGCAGGCGGAGCGAATGGTTGCTCAGTTACTATGAGCAACACTTCTTTTAGGCCGCGCCTACCAGTACTACGTTATAGTCTGTGTGCCACGACTTGAAATTTCACGGAACGACCTTCCGCTGTTCCACTGCGTGCGTTCGCGAAGCGTCTTTCGAATCTAGGTCACGTTTCCAAATGATTGTTGTTGCTGTGGGAGGACATGAAAGTAGAGTACCTTAACAAAAAAAAAAATTAAAAGCGCGACCAAGGTTCGCAAAGGCGCGCAGCGGCACAGCGGAATGTCGTTCGGTGAAATTCCAAGTCGTGGTACACAGGCTATACCAAGGCTAGCTTTTTTTAAATGGATAACCAGGGATTGTATGTTTCTGCAAGATGTTAACAGGCTGTCTCTGTAATTCTCAAAAACAATTTACAATTGAAAAAATTTTTTATTTTGATGAAACGTAACCACTATGATAGTACATCAACAAAAATAAATGACGTTTTTACACTTTTTTTCAGAACGTGGAATGATCTTTTTCAAAAAAGTATTTCGCAATTATGCGAAGAACCTTTCATCAAAAAAAAACAGGATTTATTGCAACTTCAAATAACAGGTTCAGCAAATACAGTTTCATTAGCAATTCGGAGACTTATCAAGGCAGGAAAGGGCGTTGAATCTGCAAAATATAGTTATAAAAGCGTACAAAGACAAATGGGGTCATTTTTTTACTCTCCGCTGTGAAGTTTTCATAAAATAATTAGAGATAATTTTATTTTTAAGACGCGGCTTTGCGCTTTGACTTCAACTTTATGACTTTTAAAGAGTTCCTTGTCTTCAAAAAAAAAAAATGCAAAAGAAGATTTGCCTTCGGTAGCGATTCAAAAAGATCAATCATGAGACTGGCCTTTTAGCCACTACGCCATGCCACCTCGGAGATGGAGAGAGGAAAGTCCAGGCGCGTACAGGACTCTCCCCGGATTTCTTCGAGAAACTTTTTCTCAGAAGCCTGTCTGGTAAAGCAGATAATCTCTTTTTTTTTCGAGAGCTCGAGAGCTTTTTTCGAGAGCCCAAGTCTATAAGTGAGTACTTTAATTTTCTAGTAAATATTAGAATTAGATACGGAATGATTTCATGAATCCCTCTCAAGCTGAAAAAAACTACAGCAAAAAAACTAACTTTTCTGTTTTTAATGAGCTAAAGTTTATCGCAAAAGCAATATGAAACCTTTGTGAATTTCTTGGTGTTGAAATTATTCCGCGCTGAATTTTTTTCAATTTTCTTTTGTCAGTGTTTTTTTTCATTTCCTAATCATTTACAGTTCTTCATCAAAAATCTTGAAAATTTATTTGAATTCCAAATAAGAATATTTAGAATTTTTCTAGGATTCCGTTGGAAATATCCAACTAGGACGGATAATTAACCGATTCAGAAAGAGCGCGTTCGGTTGAAAGTACACCAGAAATATTTTTCAGTTTTTTTGGGAAAGCATTGTGCAGATTGCATGAAGCTTTTTTTGAAGATCTTTTTCAAAGTAAATGAAAACTGCATTATTTAGTCCGATTATGTCTAAAAAAATGCGAAACGTTCGATGCAAACAAAATGAAATTTTTTAAAGACATATTGGCAGTAAAACTGATATTGGAGACAAATATGCTAACTTGTAGAGCTCTGTCTTGCCTGTCGAACGGCATACTTGGAAACGTAAAGAATTCCCTAAATTTAGAGAAAAAAATAATTCAAAGTCGCAGAGAAAAAAGTTTGAGTTCCCGCCAAAAGGACGTTTTGCAGAGAAGTTGCTCTATGGACAACACGCTTTGCCTTTTTTCGGATAATCGTTTTTTTTTTCTTCGTCTCTTTCAAATTTAATTTTTTTCTGTTGTCATCAAAGATAATTTCCTCAGAAGAACTTATAAAAAGTTTACGAATTTTTATCACGACTACTATAATTTACAGAAAAGTTTATCTTGAAACTTACTGGGTGAAAGGATTTCCTAGACTATCAAAAAACCAAATGCCGTCAGTGTTGCACATCACATTGATTGTTGACACTAAGGGGGCGTCTCTGAAGGTTTCTGGCTCTGGAGGGGGAATGGTAACGTAGATCTGAAAGTTCCAAAATTGACTTTGTGCGTTTATTCAAATGCTTGATAAAAAAAATTTTCATTCTTTGGATTTGATTTTTTCTCAGGTGACCTGCCGATTTCGAATGCAATATAAATAAAAAATTTTTCCCACTGACAAATGCTCTTGTCAATCTCAAATTATAGTTTTTAAAAAAAAATTTTAGTATTCAAAAATAAAAAAAAATGACTCACAAACACTGCCGTGCAGCTTTGAGTGGGAGAAGTACAGGTAAATGTTGCCGAGCAAGAGTTTCCACTGAAATAACAAAAAATTCCGTGTTAAGTTTTCAAAAGGCTCCAGCTACAACATCCGCTACCTTCTTAGCTTGTCGAGACGTAACTGGATAAACAAGGCACAAAAGAACTAGACGAAGGATAGTAAGACCTTGCTTTCAACGAGAATGAAACTATTCTTGAAATAAAACACTTCTAGACTCGTTAATAATTATAATATTAGAGAAAAAAAATAATTAATCACCTAATAACCGGCCGGTATTCGTCTGGCATGTTTGGATCTATTTTCAACGAATCCGTGGTGCAGGGACATCCTGAAAAATTGACTCATTTCGAATTTTTCACGAAGTTATAAATAGTTTCTAATTTTACCGCTAGTGGTAGTAGTAGTCATTGTAGTAGTTGATGTAACTTCCATCGAAGTTGTTGTCGACTCAGTCATCTGCAGAAAAAATTTGATTTCTGTTTTTGGTCTAAAAAAATTGCCTCACCCGAAATGTTCATTACATCACTGAAAAAAATTTTTTTTTCAGTATATCACTAATTCTTTTCCAAAAATAAAGGTGGCATTCATTTCAGGAACGAAGAACAGAAACTTTATATATGTCATTTAGTCTTTATTTTTCGAAAACTCTTTTTCTTCCTGGAAATTATTCTATGCAACCTGTAGGGAACGCATAGTCAAGCCACGGCGCTCCAGAGTAGTCATTCGGATGTTAAAGTGGGCATGACACGGTAAATTATTTTCCGATCATGCATCGAAAATGATCAGACAGAAAAAGATGTTTAAAATAGATGCGCTCATTGAGATCTTCTTCCAAATTTCTTCGATTTTCTTCTTCAAGATTTCAGGTCAAAACCATAGTTTTAACAAAGTTGTGAACGAAAAATTAAAAAAAAAATGTTCACCCATTTTCGCTACTCCATATGTAAAAAAAAATTAATGTCACCGATAGTTTTTTCGTCATCTCACTTCTCATCTTAAATTGACTTATTTTCATCGTGTGTGGCGAGAACAGTCTGAGAATCGCTGTATAGTGTAATGACAAAGAGAGATGGAGAGAGAAAAAACTCGTATGGTATTTGCAACTGTCAAGAATAAAATGATGACGAAACTTTAGAAAAGCTTACACTGCTTGTGACTGTGCTTGGAACTGTGGCTGTGCTTGGAACTGTGGCTGTGCTTGGGATTGTGACTGTGGTTGGGACTGTGGCGGGAGTTGTAACCGTATCCGAAGGAACTGTTCTCATGCATCCATATACAATTGTGAGTACAATAGAGAGCAGTAAAGATAATTTATTCATAATTAATCAGCAATCGACAGGAAGTACAAAAAGCGACCATAAATGGGATAAGCTGAATTGAACCGCAGGTAGAGATGGTCGGGGACATGGTCTCTTCTGTCGCCAGAGACCGCCCCTTTTCGAAGGATATCGGTTCAAAATCATTTTGATAAGATTCGAGGTGTCATCAAAAAAGATTGAGAGCGATACAAACAGTCAAAACGTCTTTCTTGTTCAAACAGTGTCTTTTATTCATCAAATAAGGATTTTTTTGACCTTGAGCGGTTTGAGATACTCGATACTATAATGATCTGAAATGGAAATTTATAACTTCAAGGGTCAGCTTTTTTGAGCTTTTTTTTTCGAGCTTTTCACATTTGGTTTTTTGATTTCAGTTATAGTCGATGTGCCACAAGTTGAAATTTCATGGAACAACACTCCCCTGTGTCGATTTGTGCGGTAGCGCGCATCTTGCGAGTTTGCCAACCTCGGCCACGCTAATTTTTTTTTGGTTTTCATTCTAATTTTTGATTGTTTTTTTAGTTGTTTTTATTCCTTCAAAATGTATTATTATCGTTGAAAAGAATTGCGTTGTACAAATGTAAACAAAAGAACACAGCAAATTTCATGATCTTTCTCGAAAAAAGCGATAAAAAAAGTTTGAAAAACTTCATGTATTCGTCAATCGCTTAAATATTGTTTTTCTCGTTTCTCAAAAAAGGGTTCAAAGGTTTATCAAAAAGATTTGCGGGTGAAAATTTTAATGTTTTCATCGTTTTTTTTTTTCTGTTCGCAGTCGTTAATGGTTTTTTTTTCAGAAATTGAGTGTCTTATAAAATGAAGACGTTTACTTCCATGAGCACATGCACCATAATTTGAAGAAAGGTTTTCGTTCCTTTTTTTTAAATGGAGCTTTAGATAAATCGTATTGCTGAACTTTGCGTCAGAAATGGGGCGTGAACAGGGAGCAATTGGAACAGTGGAAACGTTGTGCTGTACGAAATGTCCAGCAAACTAATAATTTTTTTCTTTGAACTTATGTATCTGTTTTTTTCTAAAAATAAAATTCGTCGATGTAGAAACATTCAATTTTTTTAAAATCATTCACTGTGTATTTTATTTCTGATTGGAATATTTTTTTACATTATTTGAAATGAAAAAAAGAAATGTCGATAAAGGCTCGATGAAGGTTAAATAATGGAATATATTGAACAAAACCAAAAACCATCTCATGAAAAAAACTTTCAAATATTATAAACGCATTTTTCTCTTAAAAATTCGAAAAATTACTCTACTTTATTTTTTTATCAATGAAACAGTCTATCCACTAGAAAAGATAATTATGAGTTTGGCACGAAGAAAACTATTAAAACATAATTAAAATAATGAAAATTTCAAATAAAAAGAAAAAAATGGAAAGCGCGACCGAAATTCGCAAAGGCAAGGCGCTTTCACGGCCACGGCCACCCAACGGAGTGTCGTTCCATGAAATTTCAAGTCGTGGCACATCGACTATAACCTGAACATTTTTTGATGGGCTAGCTGAATTTTTTATCTGCTCAGATCCCTAGTTTTTGATAATTGATTTCTTGATCTTCTTTTATTTCGTAGCAGAATAACCTCAGTGTGTAACAGAAGAAGTGCCAGACATCTTGTGATCGCAGGATCATTTTTTTTTCAAAATGACATCAGAGAAGACAAACAGGAACGATGACTGTTTCCTGACTCAGAGATTATGAACGGCTGCAATCATTCAACCACTCGATCATTTCCTTTCCCAGAACTCTCTGTATTTCATAGTAACTTTTCTTTGAATTCACCTGGAATTTCTCAGATTTTCTCAGTGATTTACGGTCTCTCAGTATCACGCATTTATCAACCTGCGTTGATCAAAGAGAAGAAAAACTCGCGACAGTTCGCGCCTTTTGTACACGGGTGGTCAAACCAAGGTCAAATCGAAGAGAAAAACATTTCCTACTGTAATGATTTTTTTCATGGCAAAATCTAGGAAATTTTCAAAACTCGATCAGGAATTTTTTTAATGTGAAAAGAGTATACTGTATAAGTTTTTTTACTGTATATTTAGTGGGCCACGACTTGAAATTTCACGGAACGACATTCCGCTGTTCCACTGCGTGCGCTCGCGAAGCGTCTTTCGAATCTAGGTCACGCTTTCAATGGATTGTTATTGCTAAGGTAGCACAGGAAATTAGAGTACCTTAATGAAAGAAAAAAAAAGTTATAATCGCGACCAAGGTTCGCAAAAGCGCGCAGTGGCACAGCGGAATGTCGTTTGGTGAAATTCCAAGTTGCGGTACATAGGTTATAATATTCTGAACATTTTCAAAGCGACGATCCAATTTTTTTAAACAAAGAGCGCTTCCTTTCAATATCCTAATAATTTGAACTCATTCTTTTCGAGGGGCATCTTATCTCAATAAGTTGAGTGAATAATGAATAATACTTCAAGTGAAATCATTTTTGACTTGAAAAAGTTTGCCTGCCACCCTAGATATTGCATACTGTTTTGATATCATGGTACAGTGCCGATGAGAGACAAGGTGAGCGCAGGTAGTCAGACCCAGACAAATGAATCCAAAGATTTCCATGAAGAATATTCTCATTCCAGACAGCCCATCAATTAGAAACTTCTCAAGGATATCACGACCCATCAATAAGAATTTGTCACCAGACGATTTTCAAGTTGCTCACTATCCTCATTAATCAAAACCACGCGGAACAAAGCGATAATTTCGGTTTCCTCTGCACCTTGGAATCGTTTCTGGGTGGTCGGTCTGGTCAGAATGTCGTCCTATGTAGAAAATCTTTCGAAAAAAAGCCTCCGATTGGGAGCAAATCTTGATTAGATTTACGGTAACACCGAAAAAGACTTGGGATTGTCTGCATTCGTAGACAGCCACGTTAATTCACTCAAAATGATGGCTTTTCATTGAGATACAGTAGTGGGGAGAATATCTGAGGGCTTCAGAGGGGGTCGAAAAAATATCTGAGCTGTTATCTTTGAGGGAGACTTGAGAATAAGTATTCAATGTTGGATTCCCTTTGATGAACGAGAGTCATCGGAATATGAACCTTACCTTTCCATCCTCTGTTCATCAGGTTGCTAATTTTCATCAACTTTTAAAATCCACTTCAAAAAGCTTCATTTTTTCACGAATAATTTTAATATTTTCAAATTTATCTGAACAACATTTACAAACAACCAACAGAAAAAATCGAAACATCAGAACACCTATTGACAAAAAAAAATGATTAGCGAAGGTAATATAACAATTGACAGTGTATATTCACGTTTTTTCACATACATATAATGGGGAGAATCAATTTTTGAAGAACTTTTTTTTTGAAGATATCGAATGAAAATCAATTTATAAATCAACAGGAAAAAGGCTAAAGTGAACACACGGAGCATCGTTCGAAAAAAGACAAGCTCAATTGCTTTCTGATTGGCTTCTTAGGATTCTTTAATATCTAAATCTGGAATTTTTGCCAATACATAAAATGAGCTCTTTGAAATTTCACATGAAGTCCTACAACAGTAAAAAGTTCAATTTTTACAATCTAGAATTCGTGGAGAGAATCAACTGAAAGGGTTATCCAGCCTCTGAATTTTCAGGAGTTTTTGATGTCTTTTTTAGTATTTCATTCTATTCAGCTCTGGTTGTAACCAATCAGAAGTTCTGTTAAAACGAAACATCTACGGTAGCTCTTCTCATTCGTTAAAAGTCCGCAAAGCCCGAAAAAATATCTCGATACCATAACCCATTTCTCAGAAAATAAGTCTTCAAGTGAACCTAAAGAGCTTTGAAATTAAAAAAACTCATTTCGAAAATTTTTGAAGTCTATATAATGATCAATTCGAAGCAAAAAAATGACTAGGAAATCTGAGAAAAGTTTTTCAAATATTTTTGAGGTGATTTTTCCGTTAGGTATAATTATTTGTTGATAGGAATTACTAAGTAGAATCCAAGCGGGACTGAAAAAAGTTTGAAACGGGAACAAAATCCAAGAATAATATTTTTAAACGAAAAAGGAGGGAAATCGATCGATGACTGTACGAATAGACGTTAGAGAAAAAAAAAAAATCATAAGCCAGATTTTCACATTTTTTTAAATTCATTAAAAAGAAAGAAATATCTATTGAAAACAAGTTTTACATTGGATAATATTGTATATTCTTAGAAAAAGTGAAATCACAAAATTATGCGAGAACGTGTCACTATGTCAATGTAGAATCTAAACTTTTTTCACTACATTAAAAAAAAAAAAAATTCTCAATAGGCATTTTTTGATTATTTTGTCTGAAGAAAGTAGTTCCAACTGGTACTGTGGATTTTTCTCAAATTTGAATACCGTAATTCCGTGGCGAGACCACATGCGCGTATCGATCGATATTCGAGGAAAAATTAGAGGATCTTGTAGAAAAATTTTCTAAAGGACTGAGAGTTTTTCCAAGGCTTTTTTTACTGACTTAATGAGAGGTCAGCTTTCTTCATAATAATTTAAATATTTTTGAGGCTTTTTCAGCATGCGAGCACTTAAGGGTAGTCTGAGTTTCAAAGAGCACACGATAATTTATGCGGAAAAAATGAAAAGAGTAGACTCTCTGGTCGATATTCTTTTTTCCTCCATCCCAACTCGAGTAACCGTAATCCTCATTATCAATTTTCTTCGTTGGTGGTCCCGCGCGTGGTGCAGATAAAATCGGCTGGGCTCCGTTAGATCCGCAGGTCGTTGGGAATGGCTCCGGCTATTCTTTTCTCCTTTATTTCTCTCCTTTTAGGCGGATTTTCCTCTCAGATCTTTTTTATAAATTTTTTTAGAGCCATATGGTAAAAACTTTCAGAAGCAGACTACGTTTCGAAATATTTCCGGTAAGGCCAGTCGGATTCAAAAGTAGCTAGAATGGCTCGTTTTCTCATCCTTCTTGCTTTTTATTTCTTCGT